TTCTCTCAGGCTATATCCACAAATGGGATATCCTATATCCCATGGCTGATGTATCTTCAGTAACTTGTATTCAGGTAAGGGAGACAGACTCAGATTCTATAACTTGTCCATCTGTCCAGCTGGAAGAAGGTATTTCACAATTTGCATGGTCACTATTCTGTGGTTATTCCACTGATGTTTGACTCTGGATCAAGTTTTATAGGCATTGTAGAGTACTGAACAGTTCTGTCAAGCTAAACTAGGTCCTATTCCAGCCTATCACCTTTAGCTGAATAGTGTGTCAGGACTCCTGCAGTTCTGTCATCTCTGGCCTTTCCATCAAAACAGCTGTTTTTGTGGGAGAAAGATGAAACTGATTTTGATGTTAAGAGAATCAGACTTCAGTGGTTAAGGGTTAAACACCTCATGGTCTCTGCTCGGGAGTACTTGGAATAGGTAGTTTCCAAATATCTGCCTGGATCAACACTGTACATTAGCGGTTGAGCACACACAGTTCTTTCTACTTCTGTGCTGTGCCATTCAACAAGCTGCAAGTCTGTTGCTCTGTTTAGTGCCAGCTTTTCTGTCACTAGTTCCCACCAGCCAGTTGGTTTCTGCCGAAAGGTTGACAGGCCTCTGCTTTTGTTGAAGGAAACTTATTAAGCTGCTTCTTGCCATACTCTAGCCCTGTTTCAACAGCCTTTGTATGCCTCCATGATCTGCTCTAGATTTAATGGAAAATCCTGGATCTCTGGATTTTTTAATAGAAATTAAAACCCAGTCTGCATGTGTAGTGGCTATTCTGTCCTTTCAAATGTTTAGTCCCTGCAGAGAGGCCTACAGAAAAGGCATGAGTATTCTGCTGAATACCTTCTTTTAGTACAACCAACAGCTTCTGCATCCTTTCTGAGGCACCTCAGAACTCTTTAATGTCTAGGGATCGAGATGTGTTTTTTAGAGACCACATCTTATTGTGGTCCTAATAGGATGGACCGCCTCCCTTGAGCATTGTAACAGAGTCCTACTTTCTCATCTTGTTTGCTTAGGCAGGCAGTGACAAATCCTGCAGTTTGTTTCTGGCAAGTGTCCAGTGCTGTTGTGTTCTTACCATGATGCGTATGAGTAAATCTTACTGGTTTGGGAGCAATCTGAGTAGGAGACAATTATTTCCCTGCCTCCTATTGCAGTCCAGTTAGTTTTGTGAGAGGTTGTCTTTAGGTGGTCTTTTAATAACTTTGGCACTCCAGAGGTGACCAGTGGCCTATGAGCTTTCCTGGATATTTTTGGTTGAGGAGGCTGAAGAAACTCGCCCAGTTTACCTCTGAGCCACACAACAGGTTCTATTTACTCATGCTAAGCATAATGCTTTCATATTCTCCTGCTGGGAACAGTGTCCTGTTTCAGATGCTTAGGTAAAGAGCATAAGAAGCAGGGTGGAAACAAAGGAGTATCACTCAGTGCGCAACTATCAGCAGCTTTCTGTGACAGAAAATGCGTTTGGCTGACTGTTTTGAAGCCATTAATTTGTCTTAATCGTACTGTTGGGCATCAGAAAATTCTTGCTGGCATTCCTGGCTTTTACTACTGTATTTTTGTGTGTAACTTCTACAGTGAGTTAATGAGATGTAGATTTGTACGTTTAAATTATAATTCTGAGCAGGAAATGTTATTGATAAACTATGCAACACTGAGTTTTAAGAATTGCTGGCATGCTTAATGGGAAAGGGGAAATATATGACAGCGATTTAGACCAGCTAAGAATTTGAAACGTTTCAGTATGCAGATTCAAGCTGTTAGCATCTTGAATCTATATTCCCTTTAGGGACACCTCTTATGTTTAATTTTGAAGATGGGACAAAAAGCTTCAGGAAACATCATACCTGCAAATCCAAATGTCATCTAACGTTCAGATGCCATTCTTTAATCTGTTTCCCTTTATGGGCTAAGAGTATCAGTTGTTAATACATGATGTTCACTGCCTGTTTGGAAGGCCAATATCCAATATGTTCAGTTCTAGATATCATACACGTTGAATACTACAACCCAAAGAGCAACTTGAGTCCTGTTACTGTGAGTAGTGAGAAGGACTTACTGGCTCCCCACTCCCTCTTGTGTTGTCTGTAAGTATTGTCTTTAAAAGTTAGTATGGAAAAACCACAACAGAGCATGAGGTGCCATAAACCTGTTAGCCCTCTCTAACGAATTGGGGTCCACTAAAGAATTTTTCAGATACTAAAAGCAAGCATGTGCTCCAAACAGAACAATTTCGACAGCTTTATTTAAACCAATAGAGCTTTCAAATTAGTGTTTTAAATACCTGTGCTGCTTACTCCATTCTTTGCTTAAATCTAAAACTTTAAAACTTAGTGGGCTGCTTAAACGTAAGTACAGTGGAGTTGTCTTACCTGTATTTACCAGGTCCTAATAAAACATTTTTCAAAGGCATATAAACAATTAATTCCTATTTCTTCCTCTGAAAACTTCACTGGGATTAGAATGGGACAAGATCAGTCTGGTTGCATCCGGAAGAAAAACTCAGGTGTTTGTTACATAAATGGAAAAATATTTATCTTCTCTTGCCCATCAACTCATATGTGCCCACAGTCAAAACAGGCGACACTGGGAAAAAAAGTCAGGTCGCAGTTCTATATAAAATAAACTGGATGTTCACATCAAAGCCTTTTTGTAGCACTTCAGAACATAGTTAAATCAAAAAAAGGAGATACTGCAATATTTCACAGCTTTGAAAAAGAACCCCCTCCTCTGCCTTCACCCCCAAGAAATAGTTGAAACATTTTAAATCCTTCAGAGCTGAATGATCCTTATTTCTAATAGTCTCTAACAGTGACTTCCTGTTAATTCATTTTGAGTTTCCCAATCTGTGCTGTGATAATAGAACCAAATTACACAACCTCTTAGCTTCAGTCTGTTGTTTAGAATAAATGTCTGGGTTTTGGTTGTAGATCAGTTGTTCAGTTGGTGAACACACTGCCACAGCTCAGCCAAAGGAAATGATCTCTATGAAATCACTATGAGCAGCATACTTCATTTAGTCCTGGGAAAGGTTTAAAGACCCAATTTCAGATTTGGAAGTTTGATTTAGGGTTTACAGGCAATCCATAGCAACCCATTCTAATAAAATTCCTGTGGAAAAAATTGCTGAAACTAGAGAATGAGATTTCTTTGTAAAACAGGGAGTATACTATGTCAACTAGCCGACCTGTGGGACTAATGTCCTGCTCTCCGAGGTTGCCCAGCATATACCAAGAGCACCCAGTCACTGTCAACTGAACCACAATGAGATTACATGCTAGCTTTTGTTCTTAAAACATGCCTGACTTTCTGCTAAGCTAGCTTCTCTTAACAAAGGATCTCTGCTGCCCTTGACCCCTCTTCTGTCCTTCCCTCCTCTTAATGCTCCTGCAGCCAGGCCTGGTTATGCGCAATTGAGACTTAAAAGCTCGCTTCTTTCTCAGTGCATCTCTCCCAGACACTTTCCCTCCACTGATGGCAGCTTCTGGCTTACCACTTTGGGTACACAGAGAATGAACTGTAGTATCCAGTGAACCTGAGTAGAGATATGAATGCTCTATGAGTAATACAATATTTGTTGATAACAATTTGGGTTTTCAAAAGGGAAACATCATTTCAGTGAAATGCTTTCCAAATGTTTCCATTTACAACCTTTAACGTGTTCTATGGACTTGCGTTATGGATAATTTTAAGATACCGTTTTGTTTGAAAGTTTGCCGTGTGGGTGGGGTTTTTTGTTTTTATTTTAGGGTATGGGTGTTCTAGCTGGTTCTTCTCTACCTACTGTGTACAACAGGTTTGCTTTGCAGGGGCAGTAATGAAAACTACCCAGATTTGGGATACTGATGAAGCTGAGCTAGTAGAAATGAAAATATACTATTAGAAAGGGAAGTCATTATGAGAACAAAATGTAAGGCAGTAAGGAAAATATTTTTCAAGAGCAATTGACTCTGGTGAGAGCAGGCACCAAGTCCTTATGAGGCGTCTTCTGCTAAGGCTGCCTAATGAATTACCTGCAGAAACTCCTAGCCTGTATATTCCGTTCTTTCAGTGCTGTTACACTTTGTTGAATGATAGTGCAAGTTCAAATTTAGCTTGACTAGTATTATTTAAGTAGTTACTAAGGAAAACTGTGTATTTGGAGAATGAAATAGAACTATTTTTTTCTTACCAGCACTGCACATAAACCACCTGCTCAAAATTCTACTGTGGGGTGTATCAGAATCATAGAATCACAGAATGGCTTGGACTGGAAGGAACTTTTAAAGATCATCTGGTACAACCCCCCTGCCACAGTCTTAAGTATTCCCTATTCTACTTAAGAGTTACTGCTTTTCTTCTCACAGGATGAAGATATGAAGAGTACATTTCAACAGCTACTTGCTCAGATGTGTGCCAGTATGAACCCACCGCAAACATCAAAGATGGTATGTGTAACAGATAATTTGAAGATTAACACTTGCTGCATAGAGAAACCAGATTTCAAAGTATCAATACTAAGAAAATTAATTAATTTTGAGAACTTTGAGAAATGTGCATTTTGGCTGTATGTAGCAGTCTGCTGATTACCTTTGATTTCTGCATTGAAGCAATAGACTTTTGTGCTTTGGCAAGGCGCTTTGCTTAAATGCATAGAAACAGTCTCCAAGGCTTTAAAGATTATGCATACATTGAAAATTAAATTGTTGAACATGTATGTTTTGATAGATTAGAATCACGAATGTTTGGTATTCAAGGAAAAATTCTCATGTCAGTGAAAGTTGAGACTGGTTATTGTGAACTTTATTACTGGATGCTAATTAGGAGAATTTTAAATTAGTGACGAATAAAACTGGGGGGCAGTGTCTTATATGAGAAGGATCAAAACCAATTAGATAGATATTGGCAGAGAAACAATTGTTGGTCATGTTGCTGTTTGGTCACAGAAAGGAGACTTCATCCAACATCTGCAATTCCGTAGCACACAAAGTAGTCAGGCTCTGTCTTACCTTGCGTCATGTAGCCATCCTGCTGCATCTTTCTTTTAGCCAATCACCACAAGAAAGCGTCTCCATGAAAATGAGGAGGAATCTGGCTCTTCAAAGCGTGCTGTTCCTTCTACATCATTGCAGAAAATGAGGTGAAGAAGAAAAGAGAAAGTGACTTCTGTTACTTACAGCTTTTTTATGGAAAGCAGATTTTTTTTACTCTAAGAAAAGTCTTAATAATGGAATAAATGTTGAAGATGCAGTTGCTAAATAAAAATAACTTTGTAAGACTGAAGTGACTGCTGTGTATGCATCCATCTTTTGGTTAAAGACACTTGCTGTAAATTGATTTGAAAAGACTAAAGCCTGAAATAACCAACGTCAAGTAGGAATTAAGGTAAGACATTCATGAGTTGGGTTTTCCCATATCTGTCTGTTGCAGAGGTCTTTTGTGCTTTGAGACATTTGATGTTTAACATCCATGTTAATGATAAAATGGCAATTCTTGTACATGAACTGGACAGAGAAACATTCATGGGCATCTGGATTTAAAAAAAATACCACACTGGTATGTGGTTTTGGTTCAAATCCACTCTGGATACCCAGGGGTGAAAAAACATCTGTCCTCCCAACAATCCTTTCTTGGTGTACCTACACTATCAATTGGAATATCCTCCAAGAGTTCTGATACTCTATAGCTCACCTCAAGGAAAATGGATATATGACTGCCATCTGCTAGTAAAAGCATCACAAAGGACTCAGTGTGTTTGGGCCAGGTTTGTGAGCTGGTGTATGGCAAAAGCCAGGACCTTGTGATTTGGTTACCAGTTTAAAAAGACCTGCATCCTTGCAGATGAGAAGGTAATTCGCAAGCTGCTGCTTATCCTGCAAATTAACTATACTTGGTCTTTAGATAGAAAACTGTAGCTTACTCCTCTTTTTTGCATCCTGCTGTTGGTGTTGAGTTTTCGGCTTTTTTGTTTTGCTTTAACTACTCTGCTTGGAGCCTTTCCCTGGGTCCTAAGACCTGCTTTCTAGTGAAATCTTAGCTTTGATGTCACTCATTTGAAGTCAAACCTTTGAGCCCATGCTGTGTGTTCATCATTTTACTTCAGAAAGCTCTCTTAAGTTTCGTTTTTCCACAAGAGTAAGCTTGGGAGGTGTTACTATATTCTGCTGAGGTAAAGTCGCATCCAATTTTCACTTACGCAAGAAATTATTGTTTCTTTATTGTTTGTTACTCACAGCATGAGTGTTTCCAGCATAACTTGCATGGTTTCAACGGGCATGGGTCGACAGCGCTCGCATGCCGGCTGTACGAGGGCAGTGGGACGACACAGGATGCGCCCGCGGTGCCGGTAAGAGCCAAGCCACGCGTGACCGGGCTCGGGGCCGGGGCCGGGGCCGGCGCCGGAGCCCCGCTTACCCTCGAGCAGCTGCTGCTAAGGCGGCTGCCGCCGTTGGGAGATGCTCTTGCACCCCGACGGCCGAGCAGCGGTTCTGAGCTGCGCTCCCCCTGCGGACGGGCCTTCGGAGGTCTCACGCTGAAGCGGGCGGCTCACACCTTTTGTGCGGTCCAGCGGGGCCGGGTTCGTCCTCAGTCCCGCGCTGAGGGGCCTCGGCGGGCCCGGGCGCTGCAGGACGGCCTGCCATGGGCGGGAAGCCGGGCTCCGGCTGCAGGACGTCTGGAGCGGGGCTGGCGCCGCCGGGCGGGGGGTGCCAGGGCTCCGGCCAGGGCCCAGCCCCGAGGGCGGGGCCGGGGGCAGAGCGGTTTCCCCGGCTCCGGGCCCGGAACGTGGCGCCGCGGGCAGGGCGGCCGGGGCGGGAGAGGGCCGGCGGTGGGGGGGCGGGGGGCGGCGGCGGCCCCCTGAAGAGAAGGAGGCGGAGCCAGAGCGTGATGGAGCAACAGGCACCGCCGCCCGGCCCGCCGGGGGCCGTAGCGGGGGGCCGGGCTCGGCGGCGGCGGGAGAGGGACGCGGAGCCTCCTCGGGTGAGCTGACTCCAGACGGGCGGCGTGTGCTGTTAGCGGCGGCGGGAGCGGCCCCTCGGCCCGTCCTCAGGCGGGAAGGAGCTGCCGGGCCGGGCGGGATCGCTGCCGGGGGGCGCCGGAGGGAAGTTGCGGACGGGCCGCTGTCCTGGCCCGGAGCGGGAGCCGGCGGGGCGGGCGCAGGCCCTGCTGCTGCCGGCGGCGGGGTGAGGTGAGGGGCAGGCCGGCGGCGGGGCAGCTCACCGGGCGGCCGCGGGTCTGCGGGGTAAGCGGCGGGTGCCCGGAGGGGCCGCCAGGCCTCGGGTGCAGCCGCAGCCGCAGGCGCCTGGCTGGGCTCTCGGCTCCCTTCGCTCTGAGGTTTTCGACGGGCCGGGAGGCGCGCCGCCTTCCCGGTGTCCCCGTGGGCTCGGGTCCTCCGCCCAGCCCCAGGCCCGCGGGCGCAGCGCGGCGTTGCGGGCCCGGCAGCGCGGAGCGGCCGCCCGTGTGCGGGTATTCCAGGTACGAGTTTCCTCCTGTAGTTCGCTGGAGTGAGCACCCTCGTGCCAGAGCGCGGGTGTCTGCTTGAGGGTTCTGTTCTCTGGGCTCCCCGATGGGCAAAACCACCCGGGGTTGTCTTCCTGGAACCTCGCAACTGGCTTGGTATGTGTGCCCGGGTGCTCTTCAGTCCTGCAGGGTTTACTGCTCCGCTGCAACCGATGGTGCAGACCTACTTTCAGCTGGGCATGCCAGCCGTTGGAAAAGTTGTCAGTAACTTGGCTGGAAGAGCTTTGTTGCTAACACAGTTTGGAGTCTGGAGGCTGGATTAAGTCAGTGCATCTTGGTTGACAGCGAACGTCATTTAAGGCGGTTCTGTTTGCTGTAATCTAGATTGAGATTAAGGGTGGGATATGTTACCACTCTCGGCAGTCCCTATGCCTATGGTTTAATGTTGCAGCCATAGGGATATCCCTGGTTGTCTCCAGTAAAGGGAGAGTTGAAATGGCTGGGGTGTCTGTGGCTTCTTGTCCTTCCTCTGCTTCTTTCCTTGGAGCTGTTCATTGTTTACTTGTGGATGTCTTTAATTTGTCTTGGAGGCTTGCACAATGTTAGACAATATCGTTCCTCTTGTGCTTTCTTCTGGTGTTGAGCGAGACCTCTTCAGGTGCTAATGAAACCCTTTGAAGTGAGTTTTTAGATGGATGGATGAGTGGGTGTGCCTTCAATATTGGAAGATTTCTGTCAGTACTAGGGCTGGAATTCTTCCCTTTTTTGGGGAGGGGGAGGTTGTCTGTTTTCTGAAGTCCTAGGTCATACCAGTGTATAAGATTACTGATTATTATTAGTCATAACATCGGTAATTATTATTATTACCTCATACTCTGTACTATCCTAATCTTAATTTTAAAGAGGTGCAAGCCACTGCTGCAACAGCATCAGTCTGTGTATATATTTCTGCTGGATGTTGATCAAGTCTTGTTTCATGTCTCTTCACGGCTGCGTTATCCCCTCCTGACTGAGGCTGAAAGCCTCTTGTTGCCCCTTGTGTGTCCTGGCTGCTCGTTTCTTCTGCTCCTGCGAGGCAAGGTCACTGGAGGTGGGGCTGCAGGGGTGCAGTGCCCACTACCTGTGTGTCAGTGGGTGCTGCCGTCACATTGTGCCGCCAGACCTGCGCTCCCTTCATTCTTGTCATGTTAGGTTTCTCTGTGTCCAACAGTTGTCCCACAACAATTGTCCCTCCTGGCTAGGGGGAGAGAAAGAAGGGGAGTGAGTGAACGAGTTACCTGACTGGGTTTAAACCACGACAGTGGCAGGCAACAAAATCCAGGGAGCACACGCACCTGCTGCCTGACAGGTCTTCCTGAAGGGACCTTCCTGTTCAGACCTGGCGTTTGCTGTGTTACTGAGTTGTCAGTCTGTTGTCACCAAGTCTGTCTGCCTGTGCCTAGCTGACGGTTCAGAGTAAAAGGTCAGACTCCTTACTGATGATTTAGAATTTAATTATTATTCGCAACAACCAAATTTAAGATTCTGTGCTTCCTTTAGCTTATACGAGATCTTTCTTTTACATTTATGGTAGGTATGTTGAATGACAATGGGAGCAAATGACTCTTTAGGCTAACGGTATCATAGAATAGTTAGGGTTGGAAAGGACCTTAAGATCATCTAGTTCCAACCCTCCAGACATGGGGAGTCAACTTCTATTTCTTCTCTGTGGCTCAGTGTCATACTGACCACCTCCTAATAAGAAAATAAGATCCTTTCTGCTTTAATTTCTCTTTCTTCATCTCATTTTTTCTGTACTGTGTTTTCACTCTGTTTCTCCTGTTCCTCAAGAATTTCAACTCTTTTCATATATTCCTTTGAAATGACTGACAATAACATGCTGTATTCTTGGTGCTGAGGGACTGTTCCTGATCTCTAAGTTTGTTCAGCCTGGAGGAGGGAAGACTCTGGGGAAACCTTAGAGCAGCTCTAGTGCCTAAAGAGGCTGCAAGAAACCTGGAGAGGGGCTTTGGACAAGGGTCTGCAGGGACAGGACAAGGGGGAATGGCTTTAACCTGCCAGAGGGGAGATTGAGATGAGCTCTTAGGCAGAGGCTCTTCTCTGTGAGGATGGTGAGGCCCTGGCATAGAATGGCCAGAGAGGTTTGCATTACATACCTGGTCCAAATAGTATTTTGCAGTGTGTTTGCAGTGTAATCAGGTTTGTTTCTCAATGGTATGTAAAAATAACATTTGTACAACTGAGTTTTTTATGGTTTTGGAGTATTTGCTTGAAAACAGAATTTTGTTTCTGAACTCTTTTGCAGAAGTGTGAGGGCATAATTTGGTCTGTGCAACCTTTACTTTTGAAAATTATGTATGAACCGAAAAGTGTTGTTTAAATTTAGCTATGAATTGCATAGCTGTTGTAATTTTTAGCAACATGTAGCATAGCTGAAATTAGAGAGGCTCTAACTGATGCTACAATTGCAGATCTTTCCAAGCTCAGCATTGGGAGCTCAGAGTGGCTTCTCAGTTTTAGAAAATTCTTTAGAAAAGACATCTTTTTCTTTAGAAAATCAGTTTCCTACCTAGTGATAAGTTCGTATTTAAAATACTTTTGTCTCTAATTGCAATGAAGAACTAAAGAAGTAAAATATTTTCAGAGCATATATTCCGTTAGGATTTTTACTGAAATGTGGTGGTTTGTGGTTTTTTGCCTTTTATTTTTTTTTTTTTTTTAATACAGTAGTGCTGGAAGTGATGGGTTTATGTTCAAGGTATTTATTCTTTTTGATTTACTTACGCTTTTAGATGAGTTATAACTTTTTATGATAGAAAAATTAGATTTCCATGAACATTAAAAATCCCTTCTAGAATTTTCTTTTAAAAATTTGGAAGTTTGACTTTCAAATTTTCTGTTCTTTCAGTGTGTATGCGCCTTATGTCTTTTATTTGCTGAATGTTCTGTTTCTCTAGAGGATTAAGTTTAGCGAGTTTGATCTTGGAAGATAAATATTCTTGTCATGTTAGGTTTCTCTCTCTGTCCAACTCACTGTTTGCTTTAGGAGATTGGGAGTTTGTCTGTTCTTCAAAAGAAAAAAGTCTGAAGACAATTGTGTGTTTTAAACACTCTCTTTGGATGGTCAGTAGCGTTGTTGAGCACCTCCTGCAAGAGGAGGTGGTGCTTTCATCAGTGAAGGGAATTAAGTGCTGAGTCTAATTTGAAGCAGATCTTGTGGGAGTTTCTGTCGAGAGTGACCTCTGCTCCAGAAGTTGCTTTCTGGTGCCATGTGCTGGTTTGGAGAAGTGATGCTGACAAGCTTGTGCCATCCTCTCCTTTATCAGAAACACGTGATTTTGTACCTTTAACTGTCTGCTAGATCCTCTTCTGTACTTCATTAGAACTTTTTTTGTTCCACTGCACTGAAGAACTTCTGCTTCTTCTCTAGATTTGATTTGGTACACCTAAGTGCCTTCTGTTACAAAGTCTTGGGCACCCTAAGTGTGTGCATTGCCATCACCTTCCTCTCTATTAGTAGAAGAGCAGTTGTGACAGGGAAGCAGGGATGGCTTTTGAATGAGTACTTCTTGAGTGTTGGTGCCATCATAATGCTCTTTTTTTATTTGTGAATGAGTGATGCAGTTTTTTTCTGTGGCTCTTTCTTTTACCTAGTGATGTTTTACTGCCTTACGTAGTTCTCATGACTGCAAGAATTAAATAACAACATATTCCAGAAATTACCATCACAGTTTACTTTAAAATAATTTGGTTTTTAGTTTTTAGTTTTCCTCTTTTTCATGAGATTATTGAGCTTCACAGGATATTAGAGGCAGAAACCACTTTACTTGGCCTGAGAGGATGTCTCCTCATGGATTCTCCTCCTTGTTACAGACTCACAGTATGATTCTGGGAGGATCATTAACAGCTTTGTGTTTCCGTTTGCTCCTGCAT